ACCCAATCTCACTGTCTCACACTTTCCACTCATCATGCTCAACCACTTGGTACTGTATATGGGCCATACGGCCCAGGAAAGATGCATCCTAGAACATATACATCACTGACCATCAGTCACTCAGTACCGAGGAAATCCAATCCGGCCCCATGGAGAAGATCCATATCTAGATATAAAAATGCTTCGGACAAGATCGATGTCCAAGAAAGATCCATCCCTCAATATAATCAACCACCCTCACTGGGGTGTCTGCAAACTCCTAAGGGGATCCTTCACCCCAAGCGCATCATAAGCCAGATCCAGGCATAAATCAATATATCATGCTGCGGCATGCAGCCCGATCCCATAACTGTCACTCATAATCAGGCTCTCAGCCTCACTCAGTCATCAATATCTCCAGTCTCACTCACGGGCTCACAATGTCATGAAACAAGCCCGACGACAATGATATGACGTATCAATAAACAACAACTGAGACTGAGATATGATATGAATGCGTGAATATGACTGAGTACGAAATATCAATGAAATTAGTGAGATGACAGTAAGAAACGATCACTATGGATCCTAACAATATCAGCGTAAAGCCTAAGCAGGATATCTAGCATGATTGACAACTCAGTTACTTAATCACATGGTGAAAACACACACATCAGCAAAATAGGGCCACTATACAATGCCATGAAAATAACGGAGTCACAATTCACCGGGTGCACGCCCACACGCCCGTCACCTAGCATGTGCGCTACCTCATCATCAATCACATAATTACGTAATTCGGGGTTTCATACCCTCAGCACTAAGTTTAGAAGAGTTAATTACCTTGAACAAGCCAATTCCAACACGGAGCAAGCCAAGCGATGCTCCAAAAATGCCATCACGTGCAGCGACCTCCGAACAGCTCAAAACTAGCTAAAAGCAACTCAAATACATCAAATAAAGCCCAAGGGAACAATTCCAAATGATAAAGATCGAATCCTTCATCAAAAACCCAAAACCGGCCAAAAATCACACCCGGGCCCACGCCTCGGAACCCGACAAAACTCACAAAATCCAACAACCCATTCAATTACAAGTCCAACCATACTAGTTTCACTCAATTCTAACTCCAATTCGATGTTCAAAACTCAAAAATTCATATTATGAAACTTTAGGCCAAAACTCTCAATTTTCCTCCTTAAAATTCATCAACCAAAAGCTAAAATCGAAGATAGATTCATGGAATATCACCAAAACCGAGTAGAGAACACTTACCCCAATTCATATGATGAAAATTGCTTCAAGAATCGCCTCAATCCGAGCTCCATAGCTCCAAAAAAGTGAAAATGGATGAAACCCCCGAAATAGAGTACTTTATACTTTTGCCCAGACATCCTCTTTCACGAATGCGGCAATACCATCTCGTTCGCAATGAAAATAATAATCTGCCACCATAACACACTTTGCGTTCGCGGTAAACACCTCGTGAACGTGACTCACAGCTGACTCAAACCTTTGCGAACGCGGCTCCAACTACGCGAACGCAATGAAGAAAGGCCTCCAGCTCCAGCTCCCGGCTCAACCCTACGCGAACGCGATCCCTCGTACGCAGACGAGAAGAAGACTTGCCCCAACTCTACGCGAACGCGGGACAATATTCACGACATGATGAATGAAATGCTACTGCCATCAAAATACACTACGCGTTCACGACACTTGCCTCGCGAATGCGATGAAGGACTGAGACACCAGATACCATCAGAATACAGCAGCGGAAAATGAAGGAAAAATGGTCCGAAATCAATCTGAAACACGCCCGAGCCCCCTCGGGACCTCGTCCAAACATACCAACAAGTCCCATAACATAACACGGACCTACTTGGGGCCTCTAAACACACATAACAACATCGAAACGACGAATCACACCTCAATTCAAAATCAATGAACTTTGAAACTTCAACTTCAACGACTGATGCCGAAACCTATCAAATCACGTCCGATTAACATAAAATTTTTCACACAAGTCACATTTGATATTATGGACCTGCTCTAACTTTCGGAATCAAAATCCGACCCCGATATCAAAAAGTCCACTCCCGGTCAAACTTTCCAAAATTCCAACTTTCGTCGTTTCAAGCCAAATTCTACTGGGGACCTCCAAATCACTATTCGGACGCGCTCCTAAGTCCATAATCACCCATCGGAGCTAACAGAACCATCAGAAATCCAATCTGAAGTCAAATACTAAAAAGTCAAACTTTGTCAAACCTTTCAAATTTAAATCTTCTAGCTGAGAATCATTCTTCCAAATCAATTCCGAATAACCTGAAAACCAAAGCCGACGATTCACATAAGTCATAATACATCATAAGGAGCTACTCATGCCCGAAAACTACCAAGCGAAGTGAAAATGCTCAAAAAGACCAGTCGGAGCGTTACATACTAGAAAGACAAATGGAAGAAGGATATCTGCTAACGGCCTATGTACGAGAGTTAGCAGAAGGAAATTTCTCTTCGAAATCTTTAGTTGTGACAAGACTTCTAGGGATGATGGTGCTCACTGTAGGAGGAGCGACTTCATCAGCTTTGTTTTTTGTTCTTCGAGGAACTGATATTTTTGAAGAAGAAGCCATTATATGATAAAGAAGAAGGAAAAGCTTTTCTCGTATGAGGAGAATTAAAGAAAGGTTGAAGAACAGAATTGAATGAATAGAGTTTGAGAGAGTTTGGAGAATTATGGGGTGTGAATAAAGGAGGTTGATGCGTATAAATAACGGTTTAGGTGGCTAAATTCGTGGCCATAATTACCTCGATAACCAGTAAAAGTTATACTGAACCGTGGGATGACGCATGTTCGGGGCATTAAATGCGGAGATACGTGCGTCTAATCAATCGTCAGAAGCTTTTCAGAGGGGGTCAGGGAAATTCTCGCCAAAAAGAATGTTTCTACCAACTTTTCGGTGACACAAAATTGTATCACCGAAAAGAAGGGGAACTATCTGTATAGAGTAAAATATGTTATGCTAAGTAATTGAATAAGAGAGTGACACGTGGATCCGAAGGCAGAGAATAGCTAAAACCGAACACAGCTGTTCCATTTCTTGCGTGAAAGAAGGACGCTCACAAAGATGCAATAAATGCCTGCCAGCCGGTAGCATTTAATGGAGAATATTCTACGGCATTTAGTATACTGCCAATTACAAAGAATTTGTCATTCATGCCCGTCGTTACACATTCTTCAGTAGCCCTCATAATTGACATTAAAGAAGGACATGATCCTAGGACCTTGTTCCCTAGGTGCAGCTATAAATAGTGAGCTATGTTATCATTGTACTGGATTTTCTGGCAAACTTACGCTATAATCTATTCAGCATTTTATACAATTTTATCTTTTGGCTCTTTGATTCCATTACTGTTGTGCCCGGAAGCCCTGTTCCCATAACTACTGTTTTTGCTATTTCATCTTCATCCCAAGGCTAAGTATTGCAGATTTATTCAATTCTCCTATTATTTCAAAATCAAATTAATTAACTTGTCTAGAAAACACGTATAAATTCAACTGTACCGTTTTACGGTAAACAAAAGTAAAACTTTTTATACTTTGAATACATAGAGGGGGGTCATAGGACCCGCAAATTACAAAGGTGCAACTAGCAAATAGCTACCATCCCAATGGGTTAATCATGTATTATCCCTTGATTTTACTCTAAGCAAAATACATATGGCTGTTTTTATTGTCAAAATAGTCGAATTAAGAATATATTGAAGTAAGATCCAAAAAAAAGATTGACTACAATTCGCCATGTACCACTTCATATCATTCTCATAATTCTCTGATAGAGTTTTTCTTTTCTTCATATAGTCAACATTAGAGCAGAAAAAACTCAATTGGACAATAATAGTTAGAAGACTATAAATTTTAAAAAATGATACTACAAAATAAATTGAATTATGACTTGTAGAAACTGTTTTCCGTTTGTTTTGTTTCCGAAATAAAGTTTGTTTGGATATGGTGCTGCCTAACATACAAATAACTTTTTTTTTCCTTCACCAATTGTTATTCTATGATGTATTTAATCTTATCCTAATGATACGATTCTAACAAACAATATACATAATGTCATTTCAATGAACATTATTTGAATTAAATGACTTGAGCTAATCAATAATGCTGTTAGAATTCTCTTGACAAATATCGAAGGCAGGCAAATAATGTTATGTCATCTACCGATCATATTCTAGAAAACTAAAAATTTTAATATTGTGGAATTCATGATTAGCTCTTGGGGAGAATCTGTCCATAAGACTAGTTCTAATCATGATTTGAAGTCACCTTTCTTGTCCTTTTCATTTATTTATTAGAATATTAAATGTTATATGAAACGATAGCACATAGTCGACCTTATTATGAACTTTTTAACTAAGACGCTCCAACAAATGATGCGTGTTCAAGTATGTGACTATCTCATATTAAAGTTTAAGTGTTAAAAAAAATACATTTTTATTTGTTTAATTATTTTTAAAATACTTCGATCTACAATTGAAAAGGAGTTCAAAGCATTGCACATAACTCTATTATTTCACTTGTTACGTCTCATCAGAATAAATATCAGTTAAGTGGTAAATGCTTGCTAAATTTAACAAATAAGAAAAAATCACCTAGGTTCGAATATGTTAATTTGATGAATTCAGCTAACTTGCAATTCAGATCTTAGAAGAATAGAAAGATGAAGACGAGAGGAGAAGAACTGGAAATGGAAAGCTCACTGTTGCATTGAGAAATTTACTGTACATCAACTACAACTAATCGACTAACATGTATTTATACTAACTAATCTCTAACTCAACTGTGGTTACTAGTATGTACTCTAGTTAGCTAACTACGGTTTATAAATAACAACTAACGAACACTAAGTACTTATCCCGTATCAATACATTCCTCAACCCCCCCCCCCCCACCCCCACAAGCTAGGTCTAAGGAAAATGTTCTTTAGGCCTTGCTTGGATAACAAATGGTCATGCTAAATGCAGCTTAACCCCTTTGTCAATAGATCTGCTGGTTGCTCAGCAGAAGGCAGATACACAGTTTCAATCAATCCATGTTGTACCTTCTCACGAATGAAATGACAATCAATATCAATGTGTTTAGTCCTTTCGTGAAAAACTGGATTCGCAGCAATTTGCATGGCAAATTTACTGTCACAATAGAGTGGAATAGGCAAAGTGAGAGAGACTCCCAATTCATTGAACAGACCAACCAACCATATTATCTCTGCCACAGTTGATGCCAAACTCCTGTACTCTGCTTCAGCTGAACTACGAGAGATAGTATTTTGCTTCTTGGATTTCCAAGAGATGAGAGAATCACCAAGTGTGACCATATAACCAGTCACTGACTTCCTTGTATTTGGGCAAGAGGCCCAATCAGCATCACAATAAGCTTGCAACTTGGTAAAACCAGTAGATGACATAAGGATTCCTAGACCAGGATTCTTCTTCAAATATCTAATCACTCTTAAGGCAGCTTCGAGGTGTGATGTCTTAGGAGCATACATGAATTGGCTTAAACATTGCACATCAAAGGAGATATCTGGCCTAGTAATATTGAGGTAAAATAGCCTACCAATCAATCTCTGATAGGCTCCAGGATTAGCAAGCAAAGTATCATTGGTAAGCCCAAATTGATGATCAAATTCAGCTGTAGTTAACTTCTGATTCACCTCAACAGGAGCCCCTACAGGTTTTTCCCCTGCCAAACCAACATCAGAGATAAGTTCGAGGGAATACTTCCTTTGATGTAACAAAATCCCTTCCTTACTTCTTGAAAACTCAATGCCCAAAAAATACTTGAGCTCCCCCATCTTTGATTTTGAAATTTTGATGAAGTGTAGCTTTGGTGTCTAATATAAGAACAGCATCATCTCCAGTGATGAGCAAGTCATCCACATACACTAGGATGATGACAATTCTCCCATTGATATGTTTGGTGAACGAGGAATAATCAAGATGACTTTGTTTGAATCCTGGCTGAAGAAGAGCAGTGGTTAACTTGATGTTCCATTGGCATGAAGCATGTTTAAGCCCATAAAGAGACTTGTGTAGTCGACAAACTGGTGTCTTTCCTGCTGAATGTGAGAAACCCTGAGGTAGATCCATATATACTTCCTCTTCCAAATCTCCTTGCAAGAAAGCATTATAGACATCCATTTAATGCAAAACCCAACCTTTTGCAGCTGCAATAGCAATCACAGACCTAACTATGACCATTTTCACTACAGGTGAAAAGGTCTCTTGATAATCCAAGCCTTCCTTTTGACTATACCCTTTTGCCACCAAGCGAGCCTTGAACCTTTCTATATCTCTAGAAGCTGTATATTTGATTTTATAGACCCATTTACAACCAATTGCCTTCTTGCCATGAGGTAGAGTTACTACTTCCCATGTGTGATTGTCTTCTAGAGCTTGAATCTCTGCTTTCATAGCTTCAATCCATCTCACATCTCTGGCTGCTTCATAATAAGATGTGGGTTCAATTTCTGAAGAAACCTTAGCAACAAAGGCTTGATACTTGGCTGAAAGGCCATTATAGTGCATAACATCACTGATTAGATATAGGCAATGATTTGCAGAACTTGACCCTCTTTGAGGTCTAATGTAGTCTTTGAGCCAAATGGGGGGTCTAGTAGTCCTGCCAGACTTTCTCTGATCACAAACAATGGATGACTCACTTTGTCCCACATCAGATGCCACAAATGCCTCATTTTTAATAGTTGGTGCATGTATCTCTGAAACAGAAATGGTACCATCTTCTGCATTGCTGGGAATAGAGGATGATGTGCCATGCATCTCATGTGCAGGAACATCAGCTGCTGTATCAATATGAGCAGTCCCAAATGACTTATCACCCCTGCTATCAACAGGTGACAGCAGACAATCATTGTTGACTATAAATGGTGATTGAGAGAATACTTTGAGATATTCAGTATTATGATGGAAAGGATACACATCTTCATAGAAAGCTACATCCCTGCTCACAAATATAGACCTCTGCTCAATGTTATATAGCTTGTAGCCCTTCTATGTAGGGGCATAGCCCAGAAATACAGACCTTATTGCACGAGGACCAAATTTATCTCCCTTCACTAAATTAGTAGCAAAGCATAAACATCCTAGAACCCTCATATGAGATATAGAAGCTTGTCTGCCAAACAACATTTCAAATGGTGATTTGTTGTTCAGAACAGTAGAGGGTATCCTGTTGAGGATATACAATGTTGCCTCCACACATCCCCCCCAAAATTGAATGGGCAAGTGACCTTGAAACCTTATAGCCCTTGTTGTCTCCAAGATATGTCTATGTCTTCATTCCACCACTCCATTTTGTTATGGAGTGTATGGACAAGAACTTTGATGCACAATGCCATGCATTGAGAATAATTCATTGCAACTCTGATTAAAAAAATTTTGTGCCATTATCAGATCTAAAACATTTTATCATCTTGCCAAACTGTGTTCTAACCATAGTAATGAACTGCTTGAGTACTGTAACTACATCAGATTTAAGATGCAATAGAAAAACCCAAGTCCATCTAGAGCAATCATCTACAATTGTGAGGAAAAACCTTTTTCCATTATGAGTTAAAACTTTGTAAGGCCCCCATACATCCATATGCAGTAAATCAAAGAAATCTACTGCTCTAGTAGTACTTATAGGAAATGGAATTCTAGCTTGTCTTGCCAATGGACAAATGGCACAATGACTTATTCTAGTACTATAGCTACCAGTGAAACTAGGCAACTTCTTAATGACTGAAACTGGAACATGTCCCACCCTCCTATGCCACAACTCAGTATCATCTCTTACTGTTGTAAATGACTTAGCTGGATTATTTAATCTTCGTTGTGTATGAAGCACATAGAGTTCCCCTTCCTTCTTACCAATCTCCTTCACCTTCCCAGTGAAGAGATCCTGTAAAATACAAAAATTAGGATAAAAAGCAGCACAACACTTAAGGGCCTTTGTCAATTGAGCCATAGACAATAGGTTAAACTTAAATGCTGTCACACATAAGACACCTGTAATAGTTTCTCCTCCATTAAGTTGGCAACTTCCAACATGAGACACTTTAGATGAATCACTTGTAGGAAGCTGTACACTGCATGTATTTCCTGTTGTCACTTTATCATGTAAAGTGTCTTGGTTACCAACCATGTGATTAGTAGCTCCAGTATCTACAATCCACTTTTCATCAGACTGTTGAACATATGAAACATTACCTACCATATGTGCACAAGCAGGAGATTCTGAGACACGTGTCTTATTCAGCATAGTAGGATTTGTTGATATTGCTCAGGTGTAAAGACTGGTGCTGGTGCATACTGCTGTTGCCCTAGCTGTTGTCCTTGTCCAAGGCCTTGTTGACCATAATTCTGTGATTTAGTCGACATTCCATCTGAAGAATTATAAGTACCTTGGCTTGGAAGACTACTGGTCATATTTCCCTTCCTCTTTGTCTTAAAATCTGCAGGGTAGCCATTCAACTTGTAACAGTTTGTCTTCAAATGCTCTTTCATGTTGCAATATTCACACCTCAATAATTTGTAGCAATTATCTCTTGTGTGCCCTTTCATATTACAATAGTCACACTCCAAATTGTAGTTTTTCTTCATCTTTTGCCCCACTTTTGATGAGTACAAGGCTGTGGGATCTGAGGAATCAGGAACATATGAACTATTACCAGCTACAATTTTTTGACTTTCATCTTGCAGAATCATTGCATATGCTTGATTAACAGTGGGAATTTTAGACTTCATAAGAATTTGACTACGGGCTTGGCTGTAACTATCATTAAGTCCCATTAGAAATTGCCATAGTCACTGATATTGTTGATGATCTACAAATTTTTTTGACTTAACACAGCAAGTAGGAGGTGGCATTATCGAATCATATTCATCCCAGAGATCCTTCAGTTTAGAGTAATACGCAGACACACTAGACATTCCTTGAGTTAATGTGAAAATTTCTCTGTGAAGATAATACATGCGTGAAGCGTTCACCTTATCAAAACGTTCACGCAGATCAAGCCAAATTGCACATGCATTTGAGCGAAACAGAACACCACTCAATAAATCACGACTAATATTATGCATAATCCATGATTTCACTATAGTATTGCATCGATCCCAAAGGTTAGCATACTTATCTCCATAGGTGTCGGGTGTAATGGTTCAATCAACAAATCCCAGTTTGTTGCGAGTCAACAGTGAAACCTCCATAGCTTGGCTTCACATAGTGTAATTCTCCATTCCGATCAACGGGAAACCTAATTATAACGCTCCAGGTGTATCAGATGGATGCAAATATAGAGGATGATTGTGATCAATCACAATTGAGCTTTGATCAGCAACTTCATCAACCGCCATTGGAGAAAATTAGGGTTTTTTGAACAAAAAATAGAGGATAAACAGAAGGTCGATGTATCTCTCGTTCTTCAGCAAATTCACAGTGAAGAACCCTAGATTTGATCGATTATCTGCTCTGATACCATGTTAATTTGATGAATTCAGCTAATTTGCAATTCAGATCTTAGAAGAATAGAAAGATGAAGACGAGAGGAGAAGAACTGGAAATGGAAAGCTCACTATTGCATTGAGAAATCTACTGTACATCAACTACAACTAACCGACTAACATGTATTTATACTAACTAATCTCTAACTCAACTATAGTTACTAGTATGTACTCTAGTTAGCTAACTATGGTTTATAAATAACAACTAACTAACACTAAGTACTTGTCCCGTATCAATACATTCCTCAACAGAATAATATGTCCCTATAGTAATTCCATTGCCTCGCCTCCAGTGCTACACCGTATACGTATAAACGTAGAACTCTTTTTCAAGAACTTAAAGTTATAAAATCATATGCTGCTTCAATTAGTATTACCATAGGACGTCGGTCAGAGAGTGACGTGGTTAATAATAATGAATATTATTATAGTCAACATTACCTTTAATTTATGTGTGCAATAAGTTTGAAAATAACATAACAGCTAGAGTTATATTTAAGTTCTTCGGATGACATATCTTCAAATATAACAAACATTAAAGGAAAGTGGCCTACTAACCAAGAATTAGGCATTTGTTGAAAAAAAATCTATCTTAATTAATAGTTTGTTAAAGACGTAGGAAGATTATTCTATGGCTGCAACTTGTAATTTGTAAGTCTATGGCGTATATAGAATCCCTGTGTGTGTGTGTGTTTCCTAATTAAAAAACCATAATTTATTACCAGTCCATAGGCATAGGATGTAATCCACGAGTCGCCAACCTGGCGTATCTATTAAAATAATAGATTATTTCCAACGTATGGCCTTTTTCAGGCCACTCTTTAATTATTATGTCCCCATTAGTCCAAAGGGTTTAATTTTGCCTTTATATAGTAGCTGGATGAATATTTTTTTGCGGACAAAATTTGCCTACTTAATTAACGAGAGACAAATTTTAAATAGTGGCCTAAGAAAAAGACATTTGGGCAAATGCTTCCATCTAAATTTATGTAACCCACCGTAAAAATCTCTTAATTTGATTTTAGGACAGAAGGATAACAATTTGTCTTGATAATATGTTACCATCAAGGAGTGCACTTGGGTGAATGAGATACCTCCATCCTCAACAAGGAGTGATCGACGTTCAATTAATATTTATAAAGTTTTTTTAAAACGAGGACAAAATATGAAGAATGGCTTTAAAAGGGACATTGGATATTGACTAGTTAGGCAAAAAAATGTTATTTTCAGACGTGTGGCTTTTCCTCATTATTAGGATCATTTATTAAAATTACAGATAAGATTGTGCAGG